CTATAACATGAAGAAAATAGTATAAAGTTGTAAGACTCTTTAGAGGATTCAATGAGCTATTTGGTACCCAGGACCAAAATTGAGGCAGGCAGAAGAAAAGTAGGTCGGCAGAAACATGTACATGGTATATACTCTTTTGAATGTATAAGATAGTACATAAAAATATAAGCAGTGGGTGTGTCCCATTCCTGGGGAGTGAACTGTCTACCCATTTGGGGTTTTTACATGCAGTTTGAAGGACAAGCAAGGGATATGGGGGCCAGAGGTGGCTGGCACCCCATGGAGGCTGCCAGGTGAGAGCCCTAGTATTGGAGCAGCACCCAGTGTCAGCCTTGGGGCTTAGGGCTGACTGCCCTGTCTGGCCCTCTCAGACACCCGGCATGGCCTGTCCTAGGGCTCAGCCCAGGGTCTATCTTTATTCCAAGTCCTCTTCATAAGGAGGCCCGAGAAAGCATCGTCTGGCCTTAGAGGCGAGTCTTATCCAGCGGTCCTCAGATCTGTGGCTGTCCACGTACGGTCCAGGGCCTGACTGGCTGGCTCCTGAGATTTCTGCTTCTGGCCCAGATTCTGCTCTGAGGCACACCTCTGGGTCATCAGGCTCCTTCTGCCTGTGACCCCCTTGTATTTACCAATGACAATTAACATTTTTTGAGAGCTTCCTTGTGAGTCAGGCTTCATGCTCCTAATATTAATAACTAAAAGCTACAGTCTTACTACAGGCAGGCACTGTTCTAAGCACTTTACACACAATAGCTCATTGAATCCTCTACACAGTCTTACGAGTTTGTATTATTCTCTTCGTGTTATAGATGATAAAACTAGGCACAGAGAGGTTAAGTAACTTGCCTAAGATCACACAGCTATTCCGTGGCAGTGCCAACTGTTTATGTGCACAGTTGTCACAGCAGTCCTGTCCGACTGGTGGATGAGCCAAGCACAGGGAGGTTTTGTGCCTTGGCGAACGTCACACTGGGAAGTGCCGGAGCTGTGAAAGGAGTGTGGTTCTGACCCCCGAATGGGCCCTGACCTCTGACGCCTTGCATCTCGCAAGTTTACTTCCACTGATGGGCTGGGAGGGGGGCTTCATTTTCCAGATGGGAAAACTGAAACACAGAGTATCTGAGCATCTTGCTCAAGAGGGTGCATGTGGGAAAGGGCAGAGCAGGGCTGGGACTCAGCCCGGGACTTTTCATCCCTGGGCTGGTGTTTTTCCTCTGTAGCCCTCCTCCTGGGCTTTGAACTCTTCCTTCCTGGCACTCAACAAATGTGGGCTCTCACCTTCTCCTTGTACCCTGAGCAGCCCCGTCTTCCCACCCTTGCGTTTGTGTGGCGTTTACATAGAACACCCAATGATGACCATCTTGTCTATGGGACATCGACTCCCCTTTCTTTCGGCCCTCCTCAGGTACCCGCCTTGGCCTTACAAGAAAAAGAGAGGTGGGACTGTTTCCCCTCCCCAAGCCCCTCCTCCCAGGGACAAAGGTGGGGCGGGGGAAGGGGTGGAAATAAATCCTGTTAGATCCTACAAGGGCTGTAGGGTTGGGTGCATGTGGACAACAGGAGAGAGATCCAGGAATCATGAGACTCCAGGCCTCACACTGCCCCACTCTCCTGGGAGGGAGTGGGCGGTGCCCAGCCTCAGGGTCTCGCATCCTTTGTTTGGGAGACTCAGGTGTGGCCCCAGCTCCAGCAGAATGGAGCTCACCCCCTCCCCCTCAGCCTTCCTGCCTTCACCAAAGCCCAACTTGGTTTCACCTAGGGATTAGTTCCAAGCCTCAAAGCTGACAACATCACAGGGCCCAGGGATTCCCCTCGCCAACCCAACCTGAAGAGGGGGGACTTGAGTTCCAGTCTTCATTCTGTCACTGATCTCGGGGGTGACCTCGAATAAGATGTTCCCTCCCTGATTCCATCCTGATGTCACATCTGAAGCTTCTAATTTCTGTCTCCTGAGCTCAGGATTCCCATGCAACCCCATGGAGTGCCCCAGAGAATCAGAGCTACGTCAAGGCTTGAAAAATAATCAGAAAATTGATGTGTGCTTCTTCTCTTTTTAAAAATCACCTACATTTTAATTCTCTACACAACCATAGTGGCAGCATTTGAAAACTGCTATCACTTTTCAATGGGGAAACAGGTCCAGGGCAGGCTACTGACTCACCTGAGGTCACCAGAAGGGTTAGCGACACACTGCAATCTACAACTCAGGGTTCTTGGCTTCCTTTCCCGCAGTTCTCACCCCTCACCACATCTCTCCATTTCCTGCTGGCCTCAGCCCTAGCCTCAGCCCACCAGTCGAGATTGACTTCTGGAAACTGAGGCCAGGTAGGCAGAGATGAGCCCAGGACTATCCTCCAAGGACAAGAACAGAGGCTGGCACTGCCCTCCCCAGCCCTCTGGCTTCTTGCCAAGGATGTGCTAAGACCATGAGCCCAGGGCCATGCACAGGTCCCCCCTTTACCTCTCTCAGCACCTGGCTGGAGCCTCGGCCAGAGTGGGAGAAGGCTGGCAGCGAGAGCTCAGGGCTCAGGCTGGTCCCAGGCCTGCTGCTCCATAGAGGCAACTCACAGGTCGCCAGCCACAAGCGGAGCCTCAGTGAGGCACTTGTGGCACAAGGCAGATTGGTTGGATGGTTTATTACAACCATGCTATTGTTAGCTACTGGGGATACATCAGTGCACAAAACAGGCAAAAATGCCCACCCTTGTGGAATCCATATCCTAGTCCATGGAGAGAGACCAAAAACAAATGAGAAAATGTTAAATATCTAAAAATATTATATATTTAAAATGCTACATAGAAAAAAATGCAGGAAAGGGGATAGAGAGGGCCAGGGGCAGGGTTGCATTTTTTAGTAGGGTGGTCAGAGAAGACCTTATTTGAGAAGGTGACATTTCAGCAGACACCTTAAGGAGAGTAAGCTTTGCCAATATCTAGAAGAAGGATGTTCAAGGCAGAAGGAACAGCAAGTTCAAAGGCTGTGAGGGAGGAGCATGCTGGCATGTTCTAGGAACAATGAGGAGGCCAGCATGACTGGAGCGGTATGAGTGAGGCTAGGTTGAGCAAGATAAACAACCGTTAGATGTCCTTTGGAGACAAGCTTTATGGGAGGAAAGAATAAGTCATTCAAGGAGGAAGCCTGTGACAAGGATTATAGGTACAGAGAAGGTGGAGGAAAGGGAACTCCAGAGAAGACAGCGAAGGCATTCTAGGCAGAGACCAGCTTGTGCAAAGGCAAAGAAGTATGAGGCGGCTCATCATGTTCAAGCATGAAACTCCAGGGGCTGGAGCAGGAATCGAATGTGAGTGAGGTGCGAGACTGGAGGAGTCAGCTCCAGCCAGATCAAGAAGGGCAGAGAAGCAGCAAGGAACAGGAGGTCTCAGGGAACCCTAAGAGGAGGTTGGGAGGGCCAGGAGGTTGTGGCCAGAGAGCAGCAGATGGGGTTCAAGGTTTGCGAAGTCAGGAGTGGTTGTGGTCAGGGAATAAACAGGGTAGGCATGCCTCCAGGATGATGGCCAGACTTGGGGATGTGAGGAAAAACAGCCAGGGCCTCTGTCTGTCCTCCCCATGAGCCCCAGGATGTGTAGGACCCTTCCGCAGGGAGTCCCAGGTGCATGGGATGTTGGGAAATGAGCTGCCACCCACCACTAGGAGGACACTGCAAAGGAAACCAGTATGGGCTAGGCAGGTGCCAGCCAGTCTTCCTTTTCCTTCTCCTCCAGCAGTCCTCTGGGATTGCTCTCTGGTTGGTGCTGGTACTTCCCTGGCCGTTGGTCCCAGGCTACCCAGGCAGGGCTTAGGAAGGGGAAGCCCCCTTGGTTTCTGTCTCACAGCAGGGACCCAATAGGGAAACCCCACACGTCCCAAAAGGAAAGTGGCAGCAATGGGCCTCGGGGAAGACCAAGAAACCCCCATCTTCTCCCTGAAGATGGGAAATCCAGGGTGGGGCTTAGGGTGGGGCTGTGCTGGAAGGGAGATCAATGGTTGATGCGACCCTGCCACAGCAGAAACACCAGGACTATTCTGGAATCTGGCTGAGCCCTGACCCCGACTTCACACAGCCCCAACCTGGTCATAGTCTGGGCCTTGACCCTGCTCAGCAACTGGGCTCTTATCCCAGCCCAAGTCAGAGCCCTGACCTGAGCTGCAGGCTCAGTCAGAATCTTGACCACAGACACGAGTTCTGTGCCCTCACTGGACTGAGCCCAACCCTACTTCACCCCAAGCACAGCCCCCAGGTCATTGACAGCTCTGACCCCAAACAGAGCCAGGATGTTGACGCCAGACAAAGCTCTGAGTCCAACTCTACATTATGTACCGATCTTGATTATAGAATGAGCTCTAATTCAAGATCTGACTCTGGTGAAAGACTGGGCTCTTGGCCCTAAATGAACCTTCACATCCAGCCCTTACCCCGGCCATAGACTGATCCTTGACTGCCCCAACTGAGGCCCCTCTGCCCCACTCAGAGCCCTGTCCCAGCTACCCAGTGAGTCCCAAGTTCTCTTGTATTTCCTTGCTCAGCCAGCTAGTAAACCAGAAGAGAATAAGACCCCCAAGTCTCCTCTGATGGGCAATCTTTTTACCTGGCATTTCATTCATCTTGTCAAGGACAGTAGGCTGGTGATGGCACTAGAATGATAATGACAAAGCAGAGAAACAGGAGGGAATTCAAGTCTCTGGGACCTACCAGCAAATAGAGCAGACTGGCTCACGCAAGAGTAGGGAATTGAGAGGAAGACTGGACCTGGGAGCTCAGCAGGGGTCAGCAGCTTGGATTGACCGAAACTCCAGCTTCCCGCCATCCCCCACCACACCTCCCACCCCCTCTGGGAAGGGAAATTACATTTCCCCATTTTAGCAAGGGGTGGTGAGGAGGGAAGACTGAGTTAAAGCAAAGCTGAAAGTACAAGCAGGACGGAAAGTGAAACCGGGCACAGCCCCCGTATAAGATACCCCCGACCCGGGAGATGGCTGATCAAAGAGGCTGGGCCCTGCCATGGGCCAGAAGGCAGGCGACCTTGGCTGGCGTGAGTTTAGGGCCAGGGCTCAGGGAAGAGGGGTGGGAGGCTTGGTTGAGGCTGGACAGAGGATGGGAGAGCTTGACTGGTGTGGACGGGGGCAAAGCGCCGAGGGGCAACTACTGGACAGAGGCTAAAGATGCAGGACACAGCCAACTGGAGGGTGGGAGTGAGGCCGGCACGAACAGGGAAGAGGGGCTGGACAGACAGGTGGTGGTTCAGCAGGGGCTGGGCAGAGGATGAGACAGATTGGCTGGCGTGAATGAGGGGCAGGAATAGAGGGCTGGTGGTTTGGCTAGGGCTGAACAGAGGGTGGAAAGCCTTGACTGGTATGAATGAGGAGAGTTGGACAGGAGCGTTGACTAGGACCAGAACCTGGCAGATAAATGGAGGGTGTGGTTGGAGTGAATGAGCAGAGGCCGGACAGCTTGGCCGAGAACTGGGGCTGGCTAGGGGAACAACAGCAGGAAGAGCTGGCACAAGTCGGGGGGGCGGGGGACTGTGGCCAAGGAGTCAGCAGCCTAACTGGGTCAAGGGTCTATAGTTTGAAGTTCAGGAGGAGGTCCAATCTACGGTCGGTGACTGAAGGACTCAGAGGCTGGAACCAGAGCAGATGGTAGGGTCAGAGTAGGGACTGAGGACTAAAAGATGGGGACAGAACCGTCAAAAGCCAGGGCCAAGGACCCAGGATTGTCTGCAGAGGTTAGAGGGAAGCCAGGGGAAGGGCCTGGGGGCTCCAGAGCTCCAGCGGGAAGTGGAGGGTTGGTGGCAAATGACCCAGCTCAATTCTGAGTGGACGATATCCACCAGGGCCTGGGGCACTGCTCTCCCTCAACACAGATCTGGGAAGAACCCCAGTCTGCCCAAAGATCCCTGGATGCCAGAGTGACCCCAAATCAGGGAGCCTGGAAGTTAGAGAGACAGGTACTGCCCACCACCTCTGGAAGTCCATGGGGAAAGCGGACCTACCCAGAAACTCCCTTGGTCTTGATTGAGTAGACACTTAAAGGAGCAGAGCCCAGGGGTTAGAGATCAAGAACAGCCAGGGAAGAGGCATGGAGAGGAGGTGGGCAGGAATAGACTTAGGCTTCGGGGACTGTTTTGGTTTGTGTTTTGAGGAGAATTGTGTAACTCGGGTGATTGCTAGATTTCCTCTCCCGGGGGGAGAAACCGCAGAACACTGTCCTCTTCCCAGAGCTCCCACCCCACTGCCCGCCCTTCCTTTTGTTCAGGAAACACAGGGCAGGAAGCATTTTCAGAACTCAGCTGGTCCGACTCCCCGTTCTATAGATTGGAGTCCCAGGCCCAGAAATAAGAGGTGACTTGCTCGAGGGAACAACCCAAATGAGAAACAGAGGTTCTGCTTCACAATTGGTCCAGGCCATCCTCCCCATCTTGGCATCCCTTGTTTCTCCCTCACTGCAGAGCGACCCATTCACCTTGGTAGAGGGGGGACCAATCTGTCCTTCTGACTCCCTGGGATAGAGACTCCAGCATTGCCAGCCACCCCTGGGGTCCTAGTTTGGGCCATCAGAGCCGCCTGGTCAAGCTTAGGGAACCCTTGGCAGAACAGAGTATGCCTGCTCCAGGGGAGGTGGCTGCCTCCTCCGAGTTCCCTGGGGGAAGCTCACAGGATCTGCCTTGGGGCAGATCTGGAATCCAGTCCTGATTTCCTCACCCTCTGTCTACGTACCTTGGCAAGTCAACCTCCCCGAACCTCACTTTCCTCATCTGCAAAATGGGAAGACTAACAGCACCCTGGCTGCCACACAGAGTTGTGCAGTTAGTTCACTGAAAGACACTTGGCCAAGAGAGTTTGCAGGGTAGTGAAATCCAGATGGAGATCTGCTTGCAAACGTGGGCACTCTGTGCAAGGCTGTGTCTGCCTGGGGGAAGGGCCCTTTTCTTTCAGTCATAGAGATGCTATATGGTGTTGTCAATAGCTTCCAACTCATTAGTAGTTTTGAGGGGTCAGTGAGATGATACGCAGTGCCTGTCCATAGCTCGAATTCTTCTCAAGCTCTGTCCTATTCTCACCTACCCTCTCCCCATCTCTCCAGGGCTCAGCCTTTTGCTGCTCTTTCTGCTCCTGGCTCGAGCTGGTGTCTGGGGATTCCCCAGGCCCCCAGGGAGGCTGCCCCTGAGCCTGCAGGAGTTGCAGGAGGAGTTCAGGCTCAGCCTGCATCTTGCCAGGAAGCTGCTCTCCGAGGTTCGGGCCCAGGCCCACCGTTTTGTGAGTTTCCCTAATGCAACTGGCTCTGGGGATGGGCAGATCCTCAATCCCTTTTGGCCCCCTCTAACAGACCTTGTCCTACAGGCTGAATCTCACCTGCCAGGAGTGAACCTGGACCTCCTGCCCCTGGGAGAGCAGCTCCCTAACGTTTCCCTGACCTTCCAGGCCTGGCGCACTCTTTCTGTGAGTAGTGGGGGGTGGGGAAGGCAGGGTGAGGGGGGCTGGTGGGGTGGGGCAGGTGAACTGGCAATAAGGCTGGGCTGGGTGGTTAGAAATGAAGTCAGAGATTGAATTGAAGATGGATTTGGGGATAAATTGAAAGATAGAATCTGGATAAGATCGAGTATGTCATTGGATATAAAGATGAAGCTGAATAAAGAAATGGAGTTAGGAAGAAGGGAAGAGTGAAGTGGGCATGGAAAAATGTAGATATGGGAATAGAATGGGATCAGGAATAGAAATTAGAATGGCTTGGAATAGGAATAAGGTTGGGGATGAAAGTGAAAACAAAGCAGAGGATGGAGAAGGGATGGGGATTACTGGTGAGGATGCGAATGGAATGGGGTTGGGATGGAGTTGGAGAAGAGAGAGGGAGATGATGAGAATGAAGCTAGACATATGGACGAGGGATGGCATTGGGATTAGGAATAGGAATAAGGATAGAAAAGAGGTTGGAGACAGGCAGAGAACAAGTGAGGAGATGGAAATAGGGTGGGATGGTGGAGAAAGGAATAGAATGGGGTTAAATGGGGTTATACATAGAGAGTGACAAGACAATGGAGATGGGGTTGAGGTTAGACATGAGCTTGGGCATGGGGCTGAACATGAGGCTGGGAAACGAGAGAAGATAGAAGTCACAGACAGTGGAGACTGCAATGATGATGAGTGAAGGAAGGGAGTAGAGAAGGAGATGAAGTTGAGGATGAGAACAGATATTCAGATGGAATGGGGATTGGAGTTTGGGACGGGAATGGGGCCTGACAAGACATGGGATTGGGTTTGAAGTGGGTCATCTTTGGCCTGCTGACCTTTCCTGACTGCCTCCTGCTGCTTCCACAGGACCCAGAGCGGCTGTTCTTCCTCTCCATGACACTTCGCCCCTTCCAAGCCCTCTTGGGAGGACTGGGAAGCCAGGGAATCTGGACCAGTGCAGAGAGGAAGCAGCTGTGGGCCATGAGGTTGGATCTCCGAGACTTGCAGCGGCATCTTCGCTTCCAGGTAGAGTGCCCGCCCATCCTCCTTAACCCCCAGAGATGAAACTGAGGGTCACTGGCTCCCTTTTTAAAATACCCCTGAGCCCACAGGTGGGGTAAGTCTGGCAGAAGATGCTTCAGAGCCTCTGAGTGTGGATGTGTGAAAGGTGGAAGCATGTGAGTGTGTGTAGCTGTACCAGGCCCCGGCTCTAACTGCTGAATCTCTGCCTTCTCTTGGGGTGTTGGTCTTAAATGAGAGAACAGCTCTGAAACTCCCAGCAGAGCATCCGGCATCAACAGGACCAACAACAAAGTTGGTTCCCTTCTCCCTGTCATCCTCTGACATCACCAGGTCCTCCTGAACATTTCAAAGGGAAATAAGAATTTTACCTTTACTGAAAGGAGAATCGAAAATGCAAGCAGCAGAAAGCTAGCTACATCACCTTTCCGCCCATTTCTGATCCTAAGATGACCCTTAAGAGAGGAGTTTCCAGAACCCCACATGCCCAGAGCAATCCTGGATGAACAGGCCAGCTCCCTCCGTGAGCACCAACTCGCTCTGTGACTTCCATTTTCTGAACCAAAAAAGCAGGCAGGACAACAAGAGATGACATAATGGAAGATCTGAAGTAGGGGTTGTCCAGGGAAATCATGACTTGTGGTCTCTGATGTCATGTGGCACCACTAGGCATATAAATGAACAAGTATTGAACTGGGCATATAAATGAACTCCACATCTCAGCCTGACCATTTTCTGACCCATGGGCCTCTTCTCACAGGTGCTGGCTGCAGGATTCAACCTCCCTGAGGAGCAGGAGGAAGAAGAGGAAGAGGGGACAGGGCTACTCCCAGGGACTCTGGGCAGCCCCTCACAGATGTCAGCCCAGGTGTCCTGGCCCCAGCTCCTCTACACCTACCAGTTGCTACACTCCTTGGAGCTTGTCTTGTCTCGGGCTGTGCGGGACTTCCTGCTGCTTTCCCAGGCTAAGACCCCAGTCCAGGCCTTGGGGCGTCCAACGCTGGCTGGCTCCCAGGCCTGATGGAGTGATTTATTAGCCCCTACCCTCACCGGTTAGGATTCTAGGACTGGAGTCCGGGCCAACAGGACAGCCACCAGCTCGCTGCCTTAAGACAAGGCAGGACTCTACCAACCTCCCTCCCCAGACCCTACCCAGTAACTTAAGGTTCCTCCAGTCCTTGTCGGATATTTATTTCTTGGATATTTATTTATTGTTTAGGGGAATGATGGTTTATTTATTGTTTCAGGGCCTGTTGGTTGTCCTTGGGCTAGGCCACCAGTCTGGGTGCCTAATAAAGTACTCTCACCCTCTCTCTGCCTCAGCTTCTTTTCAGCAAAGGAGCATCTGACACCCACACGGGGGCCAGAATGGACTCTGCAGCCTTTGGCCATCCTGGACCCCTCTCTTCCCCTACATTTTTGGGGTTCCTGGACTACCTTTATCAACTCTGGCTTGCTCAGTTGGTGGTTGCAATAGTAACTAGCGGAGTTTTGAGGCTGAGCTCCCATTGGCAAAGCTCAAGGTGCCTGGTCTGCTTATAATCAACCCTTGATTATAAAATGTAGCTCCATAGATGCTCCTAGCCTCTTTCTTCTGGGCTGGCTCCTACTCCAGATGTTTGCCTTCCCCTCACACAGCTCTGCAAGGGCTTGGGAAGGGTGTTGGGGAGTGGGGACAGTCGGAGAGGGAAGGCTCTGGGAGAACTGTCTCTGTCCCTTCTCAGCCTTCCAGCCAGTGGCCGAGACAGACTGGGGAGGCAGTCAGGACAGGCTGTGAGAGGTGGTCCCAAGGGGGCAGGTGGTCCATCAGCTGCTTTGGAGAGTCAGATTTCTTATGTTCATGGTTCTCAAGGATGTCTGGTTCTGTCTGCTCTGTGAATGAAGCTCCAAGAAATTCAGGCCCAGGTGGTGAATAGGGTGCTTCGAAAGTGGTCAAGGGAGTCAGGCTGAACAGGGTTCAACCAAGCCCTCTGACTCTCACTCAGGGCTTGGCTATTGGGTCTCAGGGCCCAGTCACTGGGGCTTTGGCTGACCCAGTCTGGCTTGGAGCTCCTGCATCATGCCAGAGTGTGCAAGGCCAAACCTGGAAGGGGAAGACAGGCCAGGGAGCTGGTCTCCAGATGTCCATGGCCTCCTGCCCATCCCAGCCCACTTACCTCACCCTGAGCTTACCCGTGTCCAAGGGGCCTTCTCCTGGCTGGCACTGGAGTCCCTTCAGGCCTGGGGGTGCTGGGCTCTGGGGGTCCCTCTGGTTGCAGATGTCTCTGCTCAGGGGCGGACAGCTCTTCCTCTGGTGGGGGGCTGGCAGGCTCCTTCTGCTGCTCAGGGGTGGGGATCCGTCGGAAAGAGGGTCGGGAGCGACGCTGCAAGGAGCTGCGGGAGAGGAGCACGCGGCTCCGTGGGACAGATGTATCCAGGCGAGACGCAGGAAGGAGGGCCTGCAGGAACGGGAGCACTGGGTATGACTGGGCTGGCTTCAAGATCCTGCTCTGTGTGGCTCGGGACCCTGCCTACAGCCCTCACCTCGCTCCAGCTGCCATGAGCATCCCCTGGGGCACTTCTTGCAGCCTCTTCTTGTGGCCCAGGCTCAGCCTCTGCAGGGTCCAGATTCGTTGACTGGTCCTCCTGGCGCTCGATGTCCTCCAGGTCTTCTGGGTCAATCTCCTCGGCCTCTGCCCTCTGGTGTCTAGTCACCTCAAAATCTTCTACATCACAGGGCATTTGTGCCTCTTCCTCAGGGGTCTGGCCCCCACGCTGCCCTTCACTTCCTTGCCACTGGTCCCTTGCTTGCCATACCCCAGTCTCTTTTTCCAACAACATCTGCCCTCCTGGGAGCCCACTGGCCTCCACTATGGTCATTGTTCCCTCTGCCCACGTTGTCTGGGAACCAGAGGTAAAGCCATCCATCCCATAGCTTCCTTCCACTGCTACAGACTCCCCAACCCCCACCCATTCTCCCGCTGGCTCACCCTTCCTAGCCTCAAAAGCTTCCACTTGGCCACCTCTGCCAGTAACCTCCTCTGCTGAGCCCCCCAGGCCAAACTCTTGCCCACCTCTGTTCCCTCCCTCAGCAGCCTCCTCTAGATCCTCACCTCTGCCAGCTTCCTCTCTCCCTTCTGAGTCCCAGCCTCCCCCAAATGCCCCATCCCCAGCTTCCCCAGCCTCTCTTTCAAGCCCTTCCCTGGTCCCAGCAGCCCCTTCATCTGGAGCTGTCTTATTCTCCACAGTCTCGGCAGCCAAAGAACTGCCCCGTGTGTCGTCCTCACTGTCCTGCAGGCTCCGAGCTGCCTCCTCCAGCCTCCAGCCTCTCCTGGGTATTCTGTCTGCCCCCCAGAGCACGGCGGCCTCCATCTCCTCATCCTTGGTTTTTCTGGCATCTGACTCTCCCAGTGACTGGCCTGTCCCTACTTCTACACCGCACCTTCCACCCAGCTCCTGGCTCTCTGCCCCACACCCTGCTTCTTTTACTTTCTTCCACTCTCTGCCTGCCTCTAGGACCTCCAGCACTGCAGACTCTCCGCCACCGGCAGCCTTCCCCTCCCCCTCTTCAGTACCTACTTTTTCCTCCTGGGTATTCCCTCTCTGTACATCCCTTCTCTGGTTTTCCCAGGCTTCTGCATCAGAGGTACCAGACTTTACGTAATCCATGTTCCTGGGATTATTTCCCAGGCTCCTTTCTGTCTCCTCTTTACTCAGGGCTGGAATGCTCCAGGGCTCTTCCTTACCACCCTGTCCTTCTTTGAGCTGCTCTGTTGGCGTCTGGAGACCTCCTATCAGCTCAGGTTCCCAGCCTTCAGTGACCCAGTGCTCGAGGCCACCATACTCTACCCCCAATTCTTCTTGACCCACCTGAGCTTCCTCCTCACTCCTCTCCTCCCTGAAGTCTTTTTCAGGTCTGGTCTCTGGAGTTGCCTCAAAGTCGGCATCACCTTCAGCCTCGTTTGTCATTTTGTCCTGGGACAGCTTAGCCTCTATGGCCCAGACACTCTCTTTCTCCTCCTTGGCCTCCCCTGCCTGCACCACCTCCTCCTCCAGACTGCCTTGAGCAGTGCGGATCTCTCCATCTTGCCTCCCCTTGGCCTCTATCCCATCCTGATCTTCTTGACCCTCAAAGCCCTTCCCTGCCTCCCATTCTGAGCCCTGGCCTTCTGCAGCCTCCTCCTCTGCTGTCTGGTCCTTAGCCTCTTGTCCCACTCCTTCAGTTCCCAGGGTCTGGTTCTGTTTGAGAACCAGGCTCACCTCAGCCTCTCTATTTTCATCCACCTCTTCCTCCTGGGCTCCGTCTGAGGCCTCCTCTATGGCCCAGACTCTCCTAGTACCCTCCTGGATCCTATCTCCTGGGGCTGCTCCATGTTCTGTCTCCCTGACTCCTAGGAGATCAGTCTCTTCCCTGCAAGAGGTTGTCCTACCCTCCTCCCCACCTGAAGTTGTCCCAGACTCCTCCTCGCCGGAGGTTGTCCCAGTCTCCTCCCTGACTGAAGCTGTCCCAATCTCCTCCCCACCTGAGGTTGTCCTTGCCTGCCCCCTGTCTGAGGTTGTCCTGACCTCCTCGCTGCTTAAGGGTGCCCCATCCTCAGAATCTGCCCCAGGCTCCTGTGTACCCTGTGCCCTTGTACTTTGGCCATCCTTCACCACAGCCACCACATCTTCTTCCCTCCCTGTCTCTTTGGCCCCAGCCCCCTGGATCTCCTCTGCAACTTCCTCCTTGACCGACTGTTCTGACACCTTGCCATCCCTGTCAGCACCAGTCTTCCCCTCAGGCTCCCTGAGCCAGGTCCACTCTGACTCCGCCCCTCTGGCCCTCCCTGGCTCTCTTGCTCTGACCTCTTCCTCCTCCTCCTCCTCCTCCTGTTCCCAGGTTCTCACTTCCTGCTCATTGCTCTCCTGACTCTCCTGGGCTTGGCTGCTCATGCCTGGGGCAGCCTCAGATCCTGCCTCAACCTTCTTTCTGGCCTCGAAGGGGGCACTTGGCTTCTGGCACTTGGCGGCCTTGGCTGCCTCCCAGGCCCCAGCGTCTTGCCTATCTCCTTGAGGCCCATGGGAGCTGCATTCTCCCCAACTCCAGGTCTGTTCTGTAGCTGAGCTTCCCTCCTGGTGTCTTCTGGCCTCTTCAGGTGCTCTCAGTCCTCCATCTCCCTTGCTTTGGCTGCCTCTGAGGCACTCCAGAGCCTCCTGGGCTTCCTCCTCTACAGTTCTCCCTGGCCTTCCTGCAGCCACTTCCCCCAGTTCCTCCGCTGCCCATGCCTCCCTTCTCTCTGCAGTAGGGACCTCATCTCCCATAAGGTAGGAGACAAAGGAGCTGAAGGAATCCTAGAAGAATGGGGGGGGGGGGGACAAAGGCATTAAGGGGAGGTCTAGCCCTCTCCTGGGGACCCTTGGCCAGAGGAACTCAGAATAGGAAGAGGTGTTCTGGGATCTGGGAGGAGGAAGACAACAGGGTCTGCAGAAGGAATAGGAAAGGACCTAGATAAGGGGTATGTGGATGTGTTTTTGGAGTTGGGAGGATTGAAATCCAGAAAAGATTGGGCTAGGAGGCTGCTTGATCCTAGCGAAAGAAACTCAAGTTTGAGGAGACTCAAAGGGAAGAGGGAAGGGGAGGCCCCGGGGAGCGATGTGGAAGTCTCTGGCATTTCTTTGCCCCTCTCACCAGTGCCCCCCTCAAGGCCTGATGCAGCCCAGGGAGATGTAGCCGGAGGAAATCCATCTTGTCTGTCTCTGTGTGTCCAGGAAGCTGATAATGACCGTCCCCACCCACCAACATAAGCCCCAGGACCCAGGACACTTCCTCTTCCCCAGCCTCCCCCTGACGCATCTTTACCCCAGGCCCTACCCACCTTCCGCAAAGCCCACAGCAGCTTCCAGCCCAGGCTGGGGGATGGGTGTGCACCACACATGGAACTCAGGTGTATATTTGGAGCCAAAGGGCAAGGGAAGAAGCCAGAGAGGGGAAAAAAATGGGAGCACGAGACCTCGGAATTGGGGATGGGGGAGGGGGCATGTGGCAACTGCAGCTCAAGTGACTCAGGTCTTGTATTCACACCTCAGCCATTTCCGCCCCCCCCCCCCCACTCCCAAGCCACAGCCACTCTGTGAGAGGAAGCTGGGGTTTGTGGTTCCTGTTTTGCCTGGGGACAAGGAGTGGGAGGGAAGAGGGAGTTGGTAAGAGCTCTGTCTTCTCATTTTAGGGTTATTAATGCTTCCCCCAGGGGAACAAGGGGCGGGATTGGTGGCTTCAATGCCTGTTCCCTCATCTGTAGTCATTCTTGTGAAACAAAACTTGGCTAGGCTTTGTATTGTGGTTATTTGTGTCTACCTCCCACCCTCCTATGAGTTTCTTGAGGGCAGACACCATGTATGACACGTTGGTGAATTTCTAGAACCCTGCATGGGTGGTAGGACCCCATTTTTCATTGGTTGAGTGACCTGGGAAGACCAAAGGAGCACATATCAAACAGCAGTCTGAGGGCCTGGTGCTGAGAAGGAGCTGATAGAAGTGGGCACCAGCTATTGGAAGCCCCTGCGAGAGATTAGCAGGGGAAGGAGATATAAAGAAAATTCAGAATGCTGCTTTACCATCTAGAGGAAGGTAAGAGAATCCACTACTTACTTGGGACTATGTAAAGTAACATTGATCAACACCTCTTCTAGTCCCTTTCCACAGCTCTACTTCCCAAATTTCCAATTAGAGAAATGAGATGACATCACAGAATCAGAATATTGGGCCTTAGAATCATCTGATCTAAGGACCTTTAGTGCAGGCAGGAATCCTGCAGCAGCCTGCTCAGCCAGCACCCCAGTCTTTGGTTCTCTATTTCTGCTTAAAAGGGTCTCTGAGGTCACCTTTACGTCTAACTTTGTATGATCATCAGTAACTTTCCTTTTTTGTTTTTTCCTCTGTGAAACCAGGGTCTGGACTACTTCTGTGATATTCTTTGGTCCTAGGATAATTTGGGAAAGGGATCTTTTAGCACATTGGATACTTCCAATAAATAATTCATGAAATCCTCTTAGGTGGATTCAGTTACCTTTACAATCTAAGGGCAACAGATAGGAATAGGAATGACCTGAAGCTGTCGGTCTTTGTTCTCAGCCAGAAACAGTGCTGTCTGAAATGAGGAACCAGGTGGCCATATTTGTGTCTGGCAAATGAAGTCCACGGGAGCCGAAGCCGCGCGCAGCCATGATTAGTGCTGGCTCAACACTGTCACGGCCTTGGCGCCGTTAATGTAACGTTAGTGCTCTTCTGGCTGACCACCTCTCAAACCAGCGATTCCAGGGTTTCCCTGGCCTCTCGGTTTTACATGCCGAAGCTGGGAAAGCCTAAAGCGAACAAAGTGACAAGACCCGGAAGTTGTGAGGACCTCCGAGCACGTGATGGGGGACCCGCTGGTGATGTCACGTGACCAGCCAACCAGTTCCCTTTTGCGGCCTGTTCGGCTGCTCTTAAAGGTACAGGCTGCGGGGACCCCTGCTTTAGAGGGGGCGGGGGCAGAGTCCGACGGGTGGGGCGTGGTGGGCGTGGGAGGGCGTGAGATGGATCCTGGGTTTGGCGTAGTGGATCGCGGGGCGCGAGTGAAGCAGAGAGCCCCGCAGCTGGGACCGGCAGTGGGGCGTTGATCATTCTCACGTGTTGCAGACCCTTCTCCGTCCCATCCGAGCCAAGTCTGAACTTTCGCTGACTTTGGACCCCTCGGGGGACGTGAACTTGATGCCATGGGAGGCTGTGCAGGCTCGTGGCGGCGGCTGTCGGATTCTGAGAGTGAGTATTACGGACCGCCCTCTGCCCCGCGACCACCTGACGGGCTCGGACTGAGAGAAAACACTCGTGGAGTCATCCCTACACCTGAGAGTGGGGTAGGGATCATGCCTCCTTCTCGCCCTACCAGGAGAGGTGTCCGACCCGGAGCCTCGGCCCATTGTGCTGGACCGGCAGGGCGCCCATTGGAAGAACGCGATGGGCTTCTGGTAAGTGGTCGGAAGAGTTCAACACAACTAAAAAAGGGGTAGAAAGAGGGAAGCGACAGAAGAAAAGAGGGAAGAAAGAATTGAGCTGCGAAAAAAGAGCTGAATCCACAAATATTTACTGAGCCAGTACGTTTTCCTAGAGGCAATATGTAAATCTCCCAAACTTACATCATTTATTTACCACCCTCCTGTTTTGGTCAGATCCTGATACCCCCTGTAGGATTATTTACTTGTTTTTATTCCAACCAGTAAAGCCTTTAAATTTGTAAGTATATGTGTATTTTTTAAGGAAAACTTTAAATCACTACTCTAGACAGAAAGCCAATATTTTCCTAATGCACATTTAAATAAATACATAACTACTCTTTTTCAAATCCTCACCTGAGGATGTGTTTTTACTGCTTTTAGAGAGAGAAGCAAGAGAGAGGGAAAGGGTGGGAGAGAAACATCTGATTGACTGCCTCCAGTGCACCCTGACCGCAAATGGAACCCACAGCATTGGGGTGTATGGGAGGATGCCCCAACCAACTGAGCCACCCAACCAGGGTACATCACTAGTTTTTAAAAGATCATCCATTTAACTCTTAAAATCACTTAATACTGAGCCTTGGGAATACTTCTAGCACTTACCTAAATATCGAGGGCTTGGGTGGCACACTGGGTTGAAAGTGATTTTCCATGTGACTCTAGTCACATAGCCTCTCTGAGCCTTAGTTTCTCAGCAGTGAAATGGAAAGAGTAATAGTACCTCTTTGTAGGCTTGTGAAAAGGACAGGGGAAATCTCTGGCGCTGGGCCCAGTTCCATTCCCACCACTGAGGACAGCTTTGGGAGATGAGAGTAAGCAAACAAGATCCTTCATGGATCATAAAGGACTTTGGTATTATCTTGTTTTGATCCCTACAGCACTCTGCAAGGTAGAAGAGATATTTGTATCCCTACTGTACACATGAGTAGACCGAGGCCACTCGAGTAGGAAGCAGCAGACTTTGGACCTGAACAAAGTCCTTTGGTTTCAAGCCCCAGGAGCTCTCTACTGTACCATGGCGCATCAGAGACAGTGGATCAGTGGATGAGAAACGCCCCAGGAACTGGTGGGAGCTCACAGGAATAGTCATCAAGGATGACTTCCCCCTTCTCTTCCTGGGAAAAGGCTAGGAGATGAGATGTGAACCCAAGTCTCTGATCCCAAAGCCTGTATTTCTAACCCTAACACTGAATGGAGATGAGGTCTGGTGTTAGAGGAAAAAAGTGAAAGCTGATTGAAGGAAGGGGAGATTTGGTGCTAGGATTGTGGGTAGACCGTAGGCTTGAAAGGAGGTTAACATACGTTCTTATATGTCAGTTATATCTCAGTAAAACTGAGGGGGAATCTGTCCTCACTTCAGGCTCCTGGGCCTTTGCAACAACTTCTCTTATGTGGTGATGCTCAGTGCTGCTCATGACATCCTTAGCCACAAGAGGACACCAGGGAACGAAAGCCATGTAAGTTACCCTCTCCACCTCCACCACTGTGTTTAGTCCCTGTGGGAACATGAGGAACTCACCCTGGGGCAGAGGCTCCTTTGAAACACTCATGAAATGGGGTAGCCAAGGGGTGGGGCAAGGGGCCTAAAGTTCCCAGTCTTCCAGAGTCAGAGCACGAAGGGTGTTTAAAAATCAATTGGTGCCAAGTGTGCAAACTCAGATGTTGGTTGTGTAGAACCATGGTTTATGGCAGTTTCTTACATTTTGGGTTGGATAATTCTCTGTTGTGGGGCTGTGCTGTACACTGTTGGATGTTTAGCAGCATCCCTGGCCTCTTCGCTAGATGCCAGTAGCACCCCCTGCCCACCAGTTGTGACAATCAAGAATGTCTCCAGACATTGCCAGATGTTCCCTGTGGGATATAATCACCTCCAATTTGGATCCTCTTGTCTGTGAGGCGCTGGAGGGCACAGGCCCAAGGAGGGCAGCTACCACCTTGCAGATTCAGTAGGGAATTTGGTCCAAGATCAGATTTTCTGGAAACCCACAATTTTTAATGAAAGCCCCTGAGTGTGTTCCCCAAATAAGGCCCATTTACAGGGCCATGTTTGGCCTGGGAATCATTCTATGGAAACAGCCTCCTTCCCATTGTACACATAGAGAAACTGAGGTCCAGGAGGCCAGTGCTCACCTAAGGGCCATCCTTCAAGTTAGAGCAGAGCTGGGACTGGAGCCAGGCTCTGTTTGTGTACCCTCTTGCTACCCAGGGTGAAAGGCTTGCTTTCTTCCTATCAGGTAGATCCAGACCCAGTTCCCACCCCCCACAATAACTCATCTCGATTTGACTGCAACTCTGTCTCCACAGCTGTGAGTAACCTTCTGGCCCTCCCCTGACCCGCACCCCCACCGCCTCAGCACCCAGCTGGGACCATCCTAATTATAATAATTAAGACTGCCATTTCCTGGCCCCATTCTGTGTGTAGCTAATATTGGTTCATTTAATCCACACAACAGTACTGTGAGCTAGGTACTATAATCATCCCCCATTTTCCAGATGAGAAAACTGAAGCTCAGAGAATGTGAATGCCTTGACACCCAGCTAAGGAGCAGCAGAGCTAGGACTTGAACTCAGATCTGAATTCAGAGCCTATTCTTAATAGCAGGTCTATTTAGCTAGTTTCTGTCTTTCCTTGGCCACTGGTTCAGAGGTTTGTCCCTGGGAAGGTCTGGGGTCTCATTCTGTTCTCCTGTCCCAGGCGGTGCTCCTGGCAGACATCCTCCCCACGCTCGTCATCAAATTGCTGGCTCCTCTTGGCCTTCATCTGCTGCCCTACAGGTCTGGGTGGGGATGGTGGGAGGAAGGGCGGTTGGGATTTGTGAGGAGGCCAGGAAGGCAAAGAAGGTGAGAGCCGGAGCTGACCTTCCCCTCTCCTCCTCCTCCTCCCCCTCCCCGCCTCCCCTCAGCCCCCGGGTTCTCGTCAGCGGGGTTTGTGCAGCTGGAAGTTTCATCCTGGTTGCCTTTTCTCACTCAGTGGGAACCAGCCTGTGTGGTGAGCATGAGATTTGGTATCAGGTGGGGGGCTGAGAGGAACTGCAGCCAAGCATGTGTGGGAAGTAGTCTCCTCAACTCCCCAGAGGAAATGGGTTGTCTTTGTAGCCCTTGGAAGCTGACGGGACTACATGAGTAGGAGATGGGAGCTGAGGTCAATTTGGAGGGGTAGGTGGTGGGGGAGATGGGAGGAAATGAATGGATTAGATGGAGACTGAGATGCACAGGGGAACCAAGACTCCATCACGGGGGTGGAGGTGGCGTCCGGGAAGAGTTCTTGGCTCCTGATTTGGTAACAGTGGGTGTCAGTACCATTCCCTGTGACAGGACATTTGGAGGAGGATTTGGTTCTGCCTCAGATCTGCAGCTCCGCCTATCTAAGGATCTGGTTTTTTGCTCCTCTGAGCTGATGCTGAGGAGGCCATGGCCAGACACCTTCAGGGACTGGAGCTATTGGGATAAGGCTAGGTATGGCCACTGTCATGCTTGTCCTCCCCCAGGTGTGGTCTTGGCTAGCATCTCATCAGGCCTGGGAGAGGTCACCTTCCTCTCACTCACCGCCTTCTACCCCAGGTAAGCAAGCAGAGCAGGGAGTAGGGAGAGGAGGTCCCGCTACTGGTTTTGGTCCTTTTTAGTGCCTCAGTGTTCTTCTTCTCAGGGCTGTGATCTCCTGGTGGTCTTCAGGTACCGGGGCGGCAGGGCTGCTGGGGGCATTGTCCTACCTGGGCCTCACCCAGATTGGCCTCTCCCCCCAGCACACCCTGCTGTCCATGCTGGGTATCCCCGCCTTGCTCCTGGCCAGGTAAGCTGCCCTGGGCTGGGCAGAAGAGGCATCTGAGGAAAGAAAACTAGATCACGATCCCAATCCTCAGATCCCTAGTCTTGTTATGAGGCAGGAAGGTTCCGGACTCTGATAGGCCTAGGTGTGAGTCTGCAGCTGCCACTCTTTAGCTGTGTGGTATGGGACAAGTTGCTTCACCTGTCTGACCCTCAGTTTTCCCATGTCTCAAATGGTAGTTATCCTCCTTGTCTTCCTGTGAGGCGCTATATGTGAAGCATCCAGTACAGTTTGGTTTCCAAGGTGATTTGAGGGAGACAAGAGTGGACTTACTAATTTTATGTATTTTCATGTGTATAAGGAAAAAATTTTAACCAGCCAATCAAACCTGTGATTTCACAGATGATGACTTAGGGCAAGGCCATGTAAAAAAAGGGAATCAGTTGAAAGGAAAGCATTAAGTAAAAAATAACATACACAGAAGGAATGTGGATGTCACAAAGATCTTGAAGACAAAACATAAGTGAAATTTTGGATGTTGTAGTCTAGCACAGGATGACCGCATAATAAATGGTAGCTAGAAAATCATTAGAAGAATAATGTCCAGAAAATGGCTGCCTTGCTTAGAGTGAGTCAGAAGTCAAAACAAGGGCCGAGGGGCGGAAGCAACAAGGAGACAAGTTTCAGTCCCAGAGAAAGAAGTCTTTTTCTGCAGTTGGAGCTCTCTGGCCCAGGCTGGGGTGTCTTGGAGGAATGTAGAAATGAGGGGGCTGCTCTGGGAGGGAGCGGCCTCGCCCTCCTGACAGAGGCTCCTGGGCCTTGTCCCGTCCCACCCCCTCCTAGCTATTTCTTTTTGCTCGCGTCTCCTGAGCCCCAGGGCTCTAGAGGGGAGGAAGAGGCAGAGAGGGCAGCCCGGCAGCCCCTGATGAGCAGCGAGGCCCCAGAGCAGCAGTCGAAGCCAGGTAGGAGATGCAGGGGGTCCTCAGAGTGCTGCGCTCTTTCTGGGTTTTAGTCTTCCTCTCTACGGTGGACATTGGGAAGGGGAAGTGGGGGTGTGTGCTGGTTATGGTAAGAGCCGATCACACTCATCTACTCAAGAAATACTCACTGAGTCCTTACTATGTGCCAGGCATTTCAGTGGGCATGGCGCCCACTGGGGGTGCCATGGTGAGTAAGATAAGGAAATGAGGCAGACTCAGAAACAACTGAATCAGAAACGTGCTTTTCATGTATTGATGCGTGCCGGAAGGACATAAAACAGTGATGTGCTAGAACATGACAACGGGGAGAAATGGAGAGGGGTTCTGCTTAGAGCAGGTGGTCAGCGAAGGCCTTTTTAGGAGGTATCATTGGGCTAAAATATGAATGACAAGGAATCAGCCCCATGGACATTGGGGTGAACAGGTTCCAGGTAGAGGGAGCAGCAAGTGCCGAGACCCGGCGTTGGGAACAAGCCTGGATGTTCAGAAAACAGAAGGGGCCAGTGTGGCTGGGATGGAGACGTATAGCCATCCAGTTACACAAGAGCTATGAAGAGGTCTCAGCTGGTTTTTTTTTAACTTGTGGTGAAATACACATAACATGGAGTTACATGTTAATATACCAACTTAACCATTTTAATTGTACAATCCGGTGCATTCACACTGTTGTGCTGGCTGGTTGATTCTTTCCCACCAGCACTCCTTGGCTTAGTCTGCCAACGTCACCTGCCTTTCTCTCCCTGCTCCTCTGCAGACTCCAGCTCAAACCTCTCTTTTCATGAAAAGTGGACAGTGTTCAAGGTATGGATGGTAGCTGTGGCCTGTCCCCATCAGTGGCCAGGGCCTGTCTCCCACCCTTCCACTTATGTTATGTCTTCTGACTCTTCCAGGGCCTGCTGTGGTACATCATCCCCTTGGTCCTGGTTTACTTTGCTGAGTATTTCATCAATCAAGGACTTGTGAGTAAGGGCTCACAGGAGGGGTGTGGAAATAAGAGATCAAGATGGGGATTCACATGTCCCCATTCATCTCCCCTCTCTGGTCCTCGCTGCAGTTTGAGCTCCTCTTCTTCCGGAACACGTCCCTGAGTCACCCTCAGCAGTACCGCTGGTGAGAACAGTGAGGATGGGTGGCAGGACGGGCAGTCTGCCTCCGGTGGGGAGGTGCCGCCCTGTGAGTGGGCACTGGAGGGGCGTCCTTCCACTCCCTGCCCTGTCTAAGGTACCAGATGCTGTACCAGGCCGGTGTCTTTGCCTCCCGCTCTTCTCTTCGCTGCTGTCGCATCCGCTTCACATGGGCCCTGGCCCTGCTGCAGGTACCAGGCCTCTGGCCTTCACTCCTTCCCACCTTAGCGCCCAGCTTCCCTGGGCCCCAGTGCTTCTCTCCCGCAGCAGGAAGTGTGTACTGCTCACTGTCATGCTCTAAGCACGAGGAGCAGAAGGCCAGCAGGGCTCCGTATCCAGTGTGTCCTCTGGAGCCAGGCAATTCTGGATGTAAACCCCAGTTTCTGTACTCTGGCTTTGTTACTTAGGGCCAGTCTCTGAAACAGTTTGAGCCTCAGTTTCCTCATCTAGAAATCAGGCAAGGCCAACATCTGCTTCTCAGGGTAGTTGTAAGAAATACAGTTGAGAAGAAGGAAGAAAAAACAGAATCACTTATTTAATGATTATTTTATACAAGCCTCATGCAGAAACACAGGTTTTCAAATAACATTTCTTTTTTTTTTTCTTTTTTCTTTTTTAAAGATTTTATGTATTTATTTTTAGACAGAGAAGGGAGTGAAACATAAATGTGTGGTTGCCTCTTGTGCGCCCCCTACTGGGGACCTGGCCTGCAACGCAGGCCTGTGCCCTGACTGGAGATTGATCCAGCACCCCTTTGGTTCAGAGGCCAGCGCTCGGTTCACTGAGCCACACCAGCCAGGGCTCAAGTACCATTTCTGACAATAACAAAATGTACAGTTCTTTTATTCTGCATGGTGAATTGTAATAGAATCAGGGGCATTGTACTTGTTAGATTGTATATCTCAAGGCATTTCAGCCATCAATGGCAAAAGTAATTTGCAGCTTTAAGAAAACAAACAACTTTCCCTATGACAGTCTAAGAAAAGTACCTTCACATAACCAGCATTTATTGTTTCTACAACCCTGAAGGTAACTGTTAAAATAAACTTTCCACTATTATAGGAAAGTTTTTTACCCTTTTTAATTTACTTAAATCTATAATAAGATCTAGACTAAGTATAGACTACACTTTAACGTTACGGCAACAGCATGCAAATATCCTCTAACTTTCTCCTCTATTTAAGCAGCAGCGCTAGCCCAGGGCTTTGTTGCCCTAAAGTCCCAAATTACTGCGTCAACAATTCTTAACTCGGGGCTCTTTGTTAGGTGCTGCTGAAATGTAGTTTATGATTTTAGTTACAGTTTCAACCAAGGCTGCTTTGTTTTTTGAAGAAAAAACAAAAGAAGTAGGGGCGTATAATCATTTAATTCCATTACAGAAAGTGTCTGGCCTGATGCCGCAGATGAAAGTGTTTGCAGTGTTTCGCAGGTCTAATTAGTATTAGAGTGTGTGCTTTTAAATGAAGGTTTCTGAGCCCAGCTCAGACGGAATGAGTTAGAATCTCCGACGGCCAGGCCTGTGTGGGTAACAAGAACCCCAGGTGATCCTCTTGTGCATCAAGCATGTGAACCGCTCCGGTGGCAACCCTGGGCGCTCTGGGATGAGACATTGGGATCCCTTGAGAGACTGGGGAACAGAGGAGGGAGCTACACCCTTGGGTGGTGTCAGAGAGGCTCCCTAATAGAGGTGGGGACATCTAAACCAGAATTTCTCAACCTTTGCACTGGGGGCCACATCGTTCTTCGTTGTGGGCTACCCTGTAGGGTACTGAGCAGCCCCTCTGGCCTCCAGCTGTTAGATGCCTGTAGCAACCTCCGTTCCCAGCTGTGACAACCAAGAGCATCTCCAGACATTATCGAATGTCCCCTGGGCAGCAAACTCAGGCCCAGCTGAGAACCACTGGTCTAAATGTAGACTCAGTACGGTAAACAGGAAAAACTATTCAGGGAGCCCTTGGGAGGAGAAATGAGATCACATGATGAAGTGACGCTGATCCAAGCTGAACTGTAACCAGTGTAACGAGAACCCAAGTGAGGGAAGGTGGAATGGCATTCCGGGGCAGGAAGTGACATGAGCAAAGGGGTGAGGGAGGAGACCCACAAGGTCTGGGGTGCTGGGACAGGGTGGGGAGAAGGCACGCCCCAGACCCCAGGGTCTGGTGGGCCACCTGGGTGTTCGGATCTGATCTAAGCCTGCCAGCCGTCTCCTTCATCAGCATCTCCAACAGCTGGGGCCCCTGGAAGGGATGGCAGCCTCCCTTTCTACCTGCCGTGGGTCCCAGGCTCAGCCCTCCCCTCCACCTGCACCCGCAGTGCTTCAACCTGGCCTTCCTGCTCGTGGACGTGTGGTTGAGCTTCGTGCCGAACATCTACCTCATCTTTGTGATCATTCTGTACGAGGGACTCCTGGGTGGTGCTGCCTATGTGAACACCTTCCACAACATTGCCCTGGAGGTCAGCACCAGTCCAGCGAGGGCTGTAGGTGGCCTTTCTGGGGAAAGCCAGGGCAGGGGTGTGGAGGACTGGAGCCTCACCCCTGTTCCCCCACCCTCCACAGACCAGTGACAAGCACCGGGAATTTGCCATGGCAGCCACCTGTATCTCCGACACCTTGGGGATCTCCCTGTCGGGGCTCCTGGCGCTGCCTCTGCACGACTTCCTCTGCCATCTCTCCTGACACCGGCCTTCTTGGAACACAGGATGCACTGATAGGTGCGCAGGTCAGGCCCCAGGCCCACAGGCCAGAGCCCATCCATGAGCTCTGCCCCTGGACTTCCCTGCACGCCTGGGCTGTAGAGAAGCGCTGAGGTTCCATTTTCCTTTGAGGAAGGGGCAGCAGCTTTCTGCCACTCCACGTTCATCTTGGGGACCTTCTTGACATTATGCCCTCAGAATAAATGCCTCTATTATTGATTGACTCCTGTGCCATTTTTCTCCTTGAAACAACTTATTATAAAAGTAATACCAGCCCACGTTGGAATATATACAAGAGAGTGTAAAGCTAGCATTTTAGCAGATTTCTACCAAGTCTTTCGGGCCTATTCATTCACTCAGTGTATGAGGCAGTCTGTATACATTTTTCTCCAGCATGTAGGTTTTCTAACATACAGAGAAGTTGAAAGAATTTGTGCAGTGAATACTCACGCAGGCACTGCCTGGGTTCTGTAGTGACTATTTCGCTATTACTGCGTCGACACAGATCCAGCCCTCCATCAGTGCATCTTATTTTTGTAATGCATTTCAAAGGAGGCTGGAAGCTGGCTTTTGGGTATTCTTCACACCGGGTCTCTTGTTCTTCTGCTGGGTCAGCTGTGGCAGCTGTGAAGACCCTAAACCCTAAGGCTGATGTGGCTCGAGCCCAGGCAATGTGGGTCATCAACATCAGCGGGGCCTGGGAACTGCAGGACATTCTGCAGGACCAATCTGGGGCCTGAAGGCACGATGAAGTTGCTTGTTTCTGGTGCTGGAGACACCGAGCTTACTAAAGACGGCAGTGCGCTGCTTCGAGGCTTGCAAATTCAACACCCAACAGCCTCCTTAAGAGCCAAAGTAGCAACAGTCGGGGATGACAACTGGGGATGGTACCTCTTCCGATTCCCTAATAATTGGAGAATTGCTGAAATGTGGATCTCTGTTTCTGAAGGTCTTGTCCCAGAATAATAACAGGATTTGAAGCTGCAAAGGAAAAGGCACTTCAGTTTTTAGAACAAGTCAAAGTAAGCAAAGAGATGAACAGGGAAACACAGATGTGGCCAGAGCATCTCTACTGAGGTTTATGCTGAACTTGATGTCTTAGCAGAGGCTGTAGGTAACTGTATTTTGACCACTAAAACATAAAATGAATCATCTGTTGACCTCTTCATGGTTGAGATCATGGAGGTGAAAGAAATCTTAAGCCAATACAAGCTTAATCAGGGGCCTTGTTTTGGACCATGGGGCATGGCATCCTGATAGGAAGAAAAGAGTAGATGATGCATTCATTCTCACGTGCACTGTGTCATTTGAATATGAAAAAGGTGAATCCAGATTTGGTTGGGTTGTTTTTGTTTGTTTTTGTACAAGGGTGCAGAGAAAGAGAAACATAAAAACAAAGAAAATTCACTGAAAATAGAGTTAAAAAATAAATAGAACTGAAAGATGAAAGTCTGTGGTGACTCAGATAAAGAATTTGTTATTAATCAAAAGGGAATTGACCCCATTTCATCAGATGCCCTTGCAAAAGGAGGCAGAGTAGCTCTCCACAGAGCTAAAAGGAGAAATATGGGAAGGCTGGCTCTTGCCTCTGGTAGGGTAGCCCTAAGTTCTTTGATGACCTAACTCCTGATTGGGACATGCAGGACTTGTCTATGACTATACACTGGGAGAAGAGAAGTTCGCCTTTATTGAGAAATGTAACAGTCCTCGTTCTGTCACATTTTTGGTCAAAAGACCAAATAAGCACGCACGCACTCTAAGATGCAATAAGGTGTCTTGGGGGCTGTTGGAAGTGCTGTTGATGGCCGTGTAGTTCCAGGTGCTGGCGCAGTGGAAGGGGCAATGGCAGAAGCCCTAACTAAATGTAAGCTCGGTGTAAATGCAGGCAGGACCCAGCCTGGACTTCAAGCATTTGCTGATGCTCATTTGCTCATTATTCCCAAGGTTCTTGCTCAGAATTCTTGTTTTGACCTTCAGGAAACATCAGTTAAAGTTCGAGCAAAATATTCAGAATCATTTTAACTTGTGGGTGTGGACTTGAACACAGGTGAACCAATGGTAGCAGCAGAAGTAGGTGTATGGGAGAGAGATTGTGTAAAGAAATAGCTTCTTCACTCCTGCACTGTGATTGCTGCCAACATATCCCTGGTCGATGAGATCCTGTGAGCTGGAGTGTCTTCTCTAAAAGGTTGCATTGAAGCTTTCCTTGTCCCATCTGAACCATGAATTCTCACAGGGGTGTCCAGCCCGCAGCCCAGGATGGCTACGAATGGGGCCCAACACAAAATTGTAAATTTACTTAACACCTTTTATTTGCTCATCAGTTTTTGTTAGTGTTCGTGTATTTAATGTGTGGCCCAAGACAACTCTTCTTCCAGTGTGGCCCAGAGACACCAAAGGGTCAGACACCCCTGCTACAGAGTGATCCTAAGAACACAGCTGTAGAATTCTTGTCCAAGTTTCAAATGACTTTCAGAGGAATTTTCTTTTTCCATGTGAAGAAAGGAGAGAACACTGGCACCTGTTCAGATTCCAAAGTCTGAAGTTATAATTACAGTATTTTTTAAATTGCACTCAGTGTGTACATACAAAGCAGACCATTTTCACCCAATCAACAGGATGTTTTGCTTTAGCTTCAGTGATATAAAAATACATGCTCAAGAAGCGTTGTTATCTCCCTTATTAAATATTCCTTGAAAACCAAAATTTAATTGTTTAATAATGTCTTCTAATGATTTAATTTATCCAGTAGTTCCACATTAAGCATTTAAGTTTAAATTTTTTATGCTAATATAAACAACACAAGTAACTTATGAAAGCATCCCTGTTTCCTTAGTATAAATTGCTGCGAGTGCTTCTGAAATAGCTTTGCTAAAAAGTTCCCCAAGAGAGTTAAGTGGTAGTGGGTAGAAAGATGCATGAACTAGAGGCAAGGGAGTTGAAAGAGCTGCAAATATAAAGTGGAAAAAAATAAAAATAGAGGCGGCCCAGGTAGGACGGCTGAAGGCGTAGTGACTAAAAGCTAGGTGCGACGAAATTTTCAAGTAGACCATGTTTTTACGCCTCTAAACATTTGCTTATGCTGAAACATCTATCCTGGAACCGCTAGTGTCATCTGTTTCTCACTCCATCCATGTTTTTGCAAAATCACTTTTATACAGTTGGTATAGTTCTACAATCCTCAAAGGTGAAGTTGTGTTGCTAAGATTGTATTTTGAGGACTTGGCAGTGAGTGTGCAATAAATGTGTTTAACTTGAAAAAGAAGGTAGGAGGCTAACTTGAACACACTTCCCTCTACATGCTTTGGTGTCCACAACAGTAACTAGAGTCCAGTATTTTTGTACAGTCCTTTTTTAGGTACAGTTTATATACAGTAAAATGTACAAATTGTTATTTATGTTTTAAGTAACTGAGGTGGGCCTAATAGTGTTTTCCGTACTTCACTGTTACTGTCTCTACCATATTTGCCATATCTATGCATTCCAGTACTTTTATTAAATATTTTCCATAAAGTGACTAACTTTTAATAAATTGTTAATTTTAAAGAGGAACAGTGTTACTATTGAAATCAGGAGTTTGAAGTGCTAGCTATGTATTTTTCTCTGGCACATCAAAATAAATACATAACTACCGGTGATTAAAATGACCACCCCAGCACCCGCCAAGGCTCCCCTACGCTACCAGTCGTGGCAGGGCCCATGCGCAGGGAGATCCTGACAGGACCGTTAACAGAATGGGCTCTGGAGGCAGAGAAGCCTGACTCTCCGGTCCCAGTTCTGCCATTCACCAGCCCTCTGATTTGGGGCAAATCCCTTCGTCTGTCTGTCCCTCAGTTTCCCAATCTGTCAAACGGGGATAACACTAGTACAAGCACATCATAAGGTGGTTGCGGAAATTATATGAGATCATGGGAAAGCACAGTCAGCACTCAGTAAATGTCAGCTTTGATCATACTATCGTTTGAATCCTGCCTTTACCTTCTACGTTGTACTCTGCTGATGGTTCTCAAGCTTAAGTGTGCGCCAGAGGACTTCTTAGAAATACAGATTGCTGGGCCCATCCCCAGGGTCTCTGACTGAGAGAACATGGAGTGGGGACCAAGAGCATTTCTGTCACTCAGGGGATGCTGCTGCTGCTGTTCAGGAACCACACTTTGAGAAATGCTGTTCCTTTTTAATAAAGCTTTAAAAGTCTTTTTTTTTTCTTTTTGGTTCAACAAACTTACGCATACATTCTTCATGCCAGAAACTTTTGTGCTGTAAATACAAAGATAGGTTCCATTTTTGATGGGTGAATAATATTTCATCACAATGGATCTTTGTCACATTGTCATTCTATTAATGTTGGTCATTTAACTTTTATCACTGTTACTAAAAATAGACCTCTGTGCATTATATATTTTCTACATATGAGTATTTCTTTAGGATAGATACTCAAAACTGAAATTTGCAGGGATGAGCATTTTTTTAGGTCGATGTCACTATATTGTTTTTTGAAAAGTTTTTTGTTTGTTTTATCAGTTTATATGGACCAGTTGTTTGTCACAGCACCGTCCTTGGCACTGGGTACAATCGTTTTGAAATCTTTGCAAAGTGAGTTAGAAACATTTAATCTCGACAATTTAAAAAATTACTTTTAACAGGATTATTGAGATATACTTTACCTACCACACAATTCGTTGTATAATCCAAGATATGTGTGACCTTCACCACAGTCAAAATTAGAATATTTTTATCACCTCAAAAAGAAACCCTATAACCGTTACCTACCATCCCCTCCTCTTTCACCTCCCCACAGCTCCAAGAAGCTACCCGTCTACTTTCTGTCCATAGATTCCCTATTCTGGCCATTCCCTATAAATGGAATCATAATGTATGGTCTTTCGTGACTGATTTCTTTCACTTAATAGCTTCAAGGTTCATCCATGTTGTAAATCATTTTATTCATTTTTATGGTCGAATATTAATTTCATTGCATAGATATACAATACTTGTTTGTCCATTCAGCAATGGACAGGCATTTGGGTTATTTCCATTTATTGGCTATTATGAGCAATGCTGCTATAAATAGTTGTATCAAGTTTTTTAATTCTTTTAAAGATTTTATTTATTTTTAGAGACGAGAATGGAGGGAGAAAGAGAGAGAGAGAGAGAAACATCAATGTGTGCTTGCCTCTTCCACACCCCCTACCAGGGACCTGG